GACAGGGAAAGACGAGAGAGGACCAGGCCTGGATTTTATTTTGTGTTTTGGTTTTGTTTGTGCGCGACAGTCGTCCGCGAGGGGCTGTCGCGCTGTTTTGAGTGTATTTTATTATTAAAGTTTCTTTTGAGTGTTCACCGGTTCCTGCCTCCTCCTTCCCGACCTACAAGCTTTGTTACAAAGTCGTTTTCAACAAAGCCCCCTCCTTTGACAAGCGCAGTCTGCTCTGACTGGCCAGCTGACCCAGTGCATTGTGACTGGCCGAACACCACAAGCACACGTGGGAAATGTAGCGCCCCTTACCATAATCGCGAGCTTCAGCTTTCAAAGTAAATATCAAGACAGTTAATAATGTCGTTAGTTTTACCATCAGTTCAAGCCCGAAAGGGCACCCGAGTCGCGTGACAGACACAGTGATGATGCAGTACACAAGCCGCAGTTAAGACAGCTGACGTGCTATGATTTCTGACAGACAGTTCACTCTCCTGTGATCTGACCCTGTTCCCCTCACACACACACGACATGTTACTCTGCGCTGCACAAAACTCCGCATTTGAACAGTCAATAGCAAATACTTAAACTAATAACAAAACATACTTACAGTCGCTGATTCAGAAGCGCCAAATTGTCATAGCAAAGTTGGAATTTACCCCCTTTTGTTTTTTTTTATTTTATAAAGAAATAGCCTTTGTGCACAGCCAGCCTTGTACTCTTCTAGGTTCAAAAAACTGTCGTCCATAAAATGCGTTGCACAAATTCGAACATCTGGGTTGTGCTGTTCTGTTGTAAATAAATCTTAACCAATGATTCCTAACTGCATCTACTTCCGGAAGGCCAAATAAAGTGCTTTTGCTTTCGCACTGAAGTACACAGCGTCTCCCTGAATCAAAACTACTGCTGTTCCTGAAACCATGCCTTCTTTCTTTGCGTGCACATTTGGGCGGCATTATGGTAATGTTTCCACATAGTGACGTAGACATGTGGGGGCGTGTTAGAGTGAGCCATTTTAGGAGGGCGTGGTTGACTTAACTTTTATAAAGAATATCTCTTTGGATTTGAGACTTTAGTCTTTGCAACTTTATAGATCTTTATGCACCAAGAGCTTGTAACACTCCAAAGAGAAAGGAAAACTTGAAATCGCATCATCTGACCTCTTTAATTTGTGTTCCGAACGACATGAGGGTGAGTAATTAATGACAGAATTTTAATTTTTAGATGGAACTAACCCTTTAAACCGCAACTGAACAAGCCAAAGGCAGCAGTAGCAAGGAACCAAAACTCCATGTTGGTCTTTACACCTTTTGTCTTTAAACCTTTTAGCCTACAGGTACTGATTCATTGTTTCTGCTGGTAAAGCACAATAATGAGTGTGTTCTGTCTAATTTCGATTTTTGCATCTCCAAACAACACTACGCTACTAGCATACCTACAGAAGCGGCAACCAATGAGCGTAAAGATTCTGTCGAAGATTTCAAAATGCTGAAATGCTTTGAGGGGAGTGCGCTGCACAAAACATTTTTTACAAAACTGTTACGTGTACTTCATCTCGAGAGCATTTCAGATGGCTCTCCTCAAAAACACAATGTATTAGCATTAGTCATATAAAAAACAATTCTTAGTATGTAATACTATAGCATAAGACTACCGAATGCACCTTTATTTTAAAGAAGATAGTTCTGTTTTTAATGACACACTTGTGTGGCAGCACATTTTGCTCTCAGTGTGGGTATACAGATTTACAGTGGGTATACTGGTAACTTGAATAGGCCAGTGTGTGAAGTTACATTTACTTTAAGCGTGTGATTAGTCCTCCTGTTAGTATTGGTGCATCGAGCCTGTCTCTTGTCTTGTAGGAGAAGGATTATTGTCAGAGCACAACCCTTTCACCTCTCTTCCCTCTCATTCTTCCCCTCCCACCCTCATGTCACAGGGCCCCCTTGCTTTCCATAACAAAAGCCTATCTAACTTGAGCGTGTGTGAGATGTTTGCGTGGCAAAGGGAAGCTGCTTGTGTGTGTGTGTGAGCTGCCCCCCACAATTACCCCGTCTCTGTGTCCCTCTGAGCATTTTGACGTGTCAGGTGTCACTGACATCTGTGCAAATGGGCCGTTTTTTTTTTTGTGCGAGTGTGTGTCTGCGTGAGCATTTTTATCCAATACACACGGTCTGTTACAGATCAGAGTGTTTTTCATCTTCCTGCAGAATATCTCTGTTTAGGATTCCGTTGAAAGCGTGCATGTTATCATATTAAACAACAACGTTGAAGCAATGTTTTTTTTTTTTTATGTTTCCTTGAAATGCATCACACTTCCAGAGTGTCCACATTTAGCGAGCTAAATTAAGTTTGCACATGCTGGGATGTTTTTCGTTAGTTAACTGAGGGTAATTGGAACACTGACACGAAATTGAAATTCTTCGATTATGAGCTAAGAGATTTTGTGCCGTTTGACTTGTACACACACACATTGCAGTCCTTTTGCCCTTCCCCCCCCCCCCCCCCCCCCCCCCCTGTGTTTCTAGTCAAGCTCTGGAGATTTGGGTTTTGAAGCGCATACAGGCCTTCAGAAAGCTTTCTCTTTAAAGAAACACGCACGCATACACCACATGCTTTCACCAGAACCCTCTACAATAGCACTTCTAATGTGGTTTTACAGGTCTGAAACAGAAAGATGTGTTTTAAAAACTTGAAACTGTGGCATATGAGTTAAAGCACATGAGTGAAAAGCAAAGTAGAAGTCGTATAGAGTTGCAGTATTTATGAAAATACTTATCAAAAATGTAATCTTGCCTGTTTCAGTAATGGATTTTTGTTTTATCTATAACTTTATACCAAAGTACAAGTCAGGTCACTTGGCAGCCATAATTGTGTATCCAAGTACAGCTCCATTCAACAATTTAAATGGGGGAAGGACAAAAATTCTGTTGAAATTATGTTTCAATAACATACTTAAAGGGTTAGTTCACCCAAAAATTTAAAGTCTGTCATTAATTACTCACTCTCATGTTGTTCCAAACCCGTAAGACGTCCGTTCATCTTCTGAACACAAATTAAGATATTTTTGATGAATTCTGAGAGCTCTCTGACCCTCCATAGACAGCAATGTAATTACCACGATCAAGGTCCAGAAACGTAGCAAGGAGATTGGTAAAATAATCCATAAAATTATGGTTGAACCCCTGATGTCAAATGGATTATTTTACCGATCTCCTTGCTACGTTTCTGGACGTTGATCGTGGTAATTACATTGCTGTCTATGGGAGGGTCAAAGAGCTCTCAGAATTCATCAAAAATATCTTAATTTGTGTTCAGAAGATGAACGGAGGTCTTACGTGTTTGGAACGACATGAGAGTGAGTAATTAATGACACAATTTTTATATTTGGGTAAACTAACCCTTTAAGTATGTTATTGAAACATAATTTCTACAGAATTTTTGTCCTTCCCCCATTTAAATTGTTGAATGGAGCTTTTTGGGTGAACTAACCCTTTAAATTCAAGATTAAAATCTGACAACAATGTCTCCATATATTGTGGTTCTTTAACTCAAATAATGCTTAAAAAAGTGCTGGTCCAAGTGCGTTCTAGAGTAAACAATCAGACGGTTGGCTCTTTTAACTGTAAGGCGGGACTTTCATTCCTGCAGCCATCTTTTGAGCATTATGATTCCTCCCATTCACATTTATGTGTGGACCATCTCTGGTTATACCACTTCAGTTTGAGGTAGATATCTGTTGGTGAGGTGGATGTGCACAAGTTATCAACTAGTTGGGTACATCAACTAGTCGACTTGTAAAACTATTCAAAACTTGCATAGTTGAATTTCAAAGTTGATTTGTGAAGTAAAAAAATAAAGCAATAAGCTCCAAGAAGCCGTGGTTTACAGTGAATTTATAACAGCTAAGGGGCGTGGTTATAAATTCACTGTAAACCACGGCTTCACGGGGCTTATTGCTTTTATAAAATGGTTATTCCATATACGTAGTTAGGTTTCACAAAATAAAACAGAGCAAATAAAGTGTAATGATATTAATAAAAAACCGTATTCTTCCACCAAACAATGTAGTTCCTCAGAAACAGTTGTGGTTGCAACAAAGTGGTTGTCAATCAACACACAAAGTAAACAAAGGTGTGTGTTTGTAGAGTAATTTACAACAGCTTCGAAAACAGCTCAACCAATCAGAATCAAGGACCGGATCTATCCGTTTTATAAGAAGAAATTTTGCACGTTATTAAATTTTTACTAGTATTTTTTTTTTTAGAGTACTTGGCTATAGAATTACTCAAAATTCCTATCGCTTGGTAATATTTTCTGTCTTATGTGGTTCTTTTGCTTCTGTGATTTCAGAGAAGCCATGCGGAATTACCTGAAGGAACGAGGAGACCAAACTGTGCTCATCCTACACGCTAAAGTTGCACAGAAATCATACGGCAATGAAAAAAGGTAAATGACAACTATGATTCATGATGAATTCATGAGATGAAATGTAAATGCTATTTGACCTTTTGGTAAGTGTAAATACTTAACATTTATCATATGTATTATTTAATCTCAGGTGGTTGCATTGTGTCTCATTGTTTTTCAGCATCTTACGCCATGAGCATTGCAGTTTTAATAACGTTTCACTTTTAACCCGTGTTCCACTTCTAAGCTCTCTATCTATCTGTTTTTGAGCACAAAAACTTATCCCATGGCCATGTGAAACCCCTTACACTGTCCATCTCTTCCCTAAGAATGCAGGAAGAATGCAGTAAGATAAGGAGTTGAAAGGACAAGAACATTTAGGAAGAAAAAAAGGAGTGAGAGAGAAGCTGATAAGAAAAGAAACCAAATAATGACAGGAAAAGAGAAAAGAAATTATTAAGGAGGCGAGGTGATATGAGACAGGGAAGCGAAGGAGAGAAGGTCAGCGGAAAGCGAGACAAGATGATAACTGTAGAGAAACACAGTGTCTGGGGAACTGATGTCGCGGTTACAGCTCGCTTGGCCTCATTTGGCAGAGAGACAGCGCTGTTATTCCTGAACAGCACAGCCAAAACCTGGACACATGTCAAGAGCGACAGAATACCAGATGAGAGCCAGAGAGAACAAAAGTGTGCACTTCATGAAATCATATACATGTGTTCTGTAATCAGAGATGGTTTATGACTAAGAAGTGTATCATTTAGCTTCAATTGAAAATGAATGTGAAGCACTTGACTTGTTGCACCAGTTCTGTTTCTTTGCATGTCCTTGTGACCCCGTTGACTTTTAAAACAGTTAATGGTTACATTTAATATTGCTAACTCATCCCAGTCCCAGTGCTACGAACACAAGTGGTTCATTAAATCATGTGGTTTGTTAAGGAGAACTAACTTTTACTTTTAGAACTAACATTTTTATTTACAGTTTTTGCCTAGCAGACAATAAAACCATGAAATGTCCCAGCAACCACCCCGGCAACTGCATAACAGTGTTCTAACAACCAGCTATGACACCCTAGCAGCTGCATAACAATACTTTAACCATCACCCATGACGCCCTGTCAGCCACCAAAGACACTGTAGCAACTACACAGCAGTACCTTGATAACCACCCAGGACACCCTTGGAATGCCCTTGTAAACGCCATAGCATCCCCAACCTGACACTATTGCAACACCCTTAAAACCACCCGGAACACCCTGTTAACCCCATACAGTGGGGAAAATATTTATTTGATCCCCTGCTAATTTTGTAAGTTTGCCCACTTACAAAGAAATGAAGGGTCTGTAATTTTTATGGTAGGTTTATATTAATGTATAGAGACAGAATACCAACCAAAAAATCCAGAAAAATCACATTATATAAAGGTTAGAAATTGATTCACATTTCAGTGAGTGAAATAAGTATATGATCCCCAAACAAAACATGACTTAGTACTTGGTGCAGAAACCCTTGTTGGCAAGAGGTAAGACCTTTTTTTGTAGTTGGTCACCAGGTTTGCACACATCTCAGGAGGGATTTTGGTCCACTTCTCTTTACAGATCCTCTCTAAATCCTAAATGTTTCTTGGCTGTCGTTTGGCAACTCGAAGTTTCAGCTCCCTCCACAGATTTTCTATAGGATTGAGGTCTGGAGACTGGCTAGGCCACTCCATCACCTTAATGTGCTTCTTCTTGAGCCACTCCTTTGTTGCCTTG